ATGCGAAAATATTTGTTCCAATGTTTTCATGTAAATTGTTTACATTTTGTTACGTTACGTCCACCAAATTTGATTTTTTTTTTTTTTTTTTGCAAGGAAAATTAATCATGGTGTTTTAATTGTTTAACAAACACAAATCTGTAATCACAATGTCCCGTGATACTTGTATGTTCACAATCACACCTGTGAGCCGTTTAGGTGAATGCTTCTGCCAGCTTTGCACATCTAAAGAGGCCTAGTTAAAAAAAAAAAAAAAAAAAACAAGTCTTGTTCTACACTGTGCTTTCTGGAGGCATGGACTCTGAGGTTTGAAATTTTACTCAATTGCGAATGTTGCAACAGTTCGATTAAGCTCGACTACGATTAAGGAAATTGTGTGCACTATAAGCAACCCCATGAGGAGTGGGGTCATGAAATCTTTGCCAGCCATTAAATGACTTAAACGTTGCTCTGACTTTAATTGCACAGTATTTGGAATCATGGGCTACACAAACTGAATGGCTTTATGCAATTTCTCCACATGCTCCTGCCAAACTACAACCCTATGAAGGGAGACTACAAATCTAAAACTGCAGAGAAAACTGATGCCAGTCGTTCACAACTCCTGTCTGTTGATTGGCCCAGTTTATAATCAACCAGACAAATCAGTGGGAGAAATCCTCGGCAGAGGACTGAAGGGAGATGAGAATCGAGTAGACCTGTATAAGAAGCCAATAGCCAGGCTAGGTTTTTGTCAATTCTTTGCAAAAGCTCAAGCCCAGTGTATGTGAACATAATTTCATAACTGTAGCTAAAGATTTCCAGGTCTACACTTTGACATGGCTATTATAATGTATGAATACGCTTTGCTATAAGTCATCCCGTTGTATCTCTTGTTGTGTGTTTAGGGTTTTTGTCATGCTGGAAGGTGTGACAATATATAGAAAATTGTACAGCAGTATGAATCGCTTTGCATGGCGCTTCATGCCAAATTTTCTAACACTAAACCAATGACCTAATAAAAGTGTCAAGAGGGAGACTGCTAATTAGAAAGCTGAACCCAAAGCCCTACAGAGTTGTGAGCACCCATGTGATTAATTTCCCTCTCCAACAACCACTGTTCATGTTATTTCAGAGACTCCAAAAGGAAATGTCCCTTCTCAGACCAGAGGGCAGTAAACGAGCAAGAGTGGGGAGAAGCAGAAGTAGAAAATCAATTAACCTGAGAAGTGAGAAAAAAAAAAAAAACAGGGTACGACTTCTAGAAGCAGGGCTTTAAGTGTAAATATGATACCATTTTAGTGTTAGTAGCTATATTGTGTGCTGGAAGGTGTGACAATATATATGATCATGTGTAAGCATTATTAGTGCATGTTTAGAATGTACGCTCGTCACTGTGCTTTATCATTCCATTTCTGAATGACTCAAACATTTTTCACACACACACACACACACACACACACACACACACAAATACGCAGACACACACCCACTAATCCATTCAGTCATTGTTAATCCACATGTATCCGGGTGCAGAGTTCTGCCAAACACGGCTGACAATCATGTCACTCGTGGCGATGTCTCACCTGTCTGTATTTTGCTCGTCAATGCTGTCATTCCTGTGGTTGCACCCAGTTTATTTGAAGAATAAACCTTGTACCATGCACTGAATATAGCACACTACATCTGGAGATCATCAGTGTCACACCAAAGCATTTGTCTGCATGAGTGCCGGGTAAACCCTGCAGCTCCGCTGCACTTATAGTGACTGTCTGGGAGTAGACTGACGAGAAGGAGTATAGACCCAGACATGAGGATTTCTATACCTCTCATGATCCATTTGCAACAACAACTGAAGCAGAGTAGGTGCTTCTAGGTAATATTTACCCTGTTCTCATATAATCTTTTAAGGATTTTACGGTAGAAAACATGCTAATTGATGTTGATGTATTCCAATTAAGCTCTGTGTTGCAAAAGAACACAGAGGGACTTTCATGAGACAACATGGGCTGAATTTAAAAAAAAAAAAAAAAAAAAAAAAAAACTTCAATTGCATTTTTTTCATTTTGTCAAAATTAAACTTGATTGTCTAGTTTTTGGAAGAAAATAATCAGTCAGGTTCAGTTAGAGTTCTGTGTACATAATTTAGTAAGCCCACTTATAAATAACATTAGAACATAATGTTCAGGTTTATACAACTATTTTTTGAAAGTAAAATATTAAGAGAAAGATGAGAAGAAATAAGGTAGATGTAGACTACACTGGAATTTTTTTTTAATCTACCAAGGGCTATGATGGGCTTAAGCTTAGTACTGCTCTTTATGTAATGTATTGCACAAGCATAATAGGTCAGTATTATGTTGGTCAGCGTCCACGTTGGAGTTTCAGAGGGTTATGGGTCTTCAGTTTCCTGTGGCTTTCCTTGGAGCCCTATGCATGAATGAGGTCAGGAGGTCAAACAGGTGTGGAGCAGAGTGAGAAGTGTAGGTTAAATTCAATGTTCTAACCTACTGCTGGTTTTACCTACGTCTTGGGGTGGATGCACTATTGCAGTTTTCTGTTTTACCAATCTTTAAAAAGTCTGACCTGCCGATTCTGATTTTGGCCGATACCATTTTTTTTTTCTGAAATGTTACTAAATAAAGCAAGAAAGACGCTGAGTTGGCAATGGTGTGGTGACTTGTTAATTGCACACATGAAGACATGACCTGATGGGCAGCTCTATCAGTCAAATCTCTCACACAGGAGAGCAAAAGAGGACATAGGCTGATTTTTAGACCGTTGCAGAAGTAGAGAAGATCGGTGGATAAGATCAGCTCCACATACAAGTATCAGCTGATCACCGATCCAAAATTAAGGAAATCAACGCTGATAAATCGGCAGGCCGATAAATCGGTGCACCTCTACCCTATTCTACCATGCAAAGACCTTACACATCTGGGGAATCCTGGTGGAATACATTCTGTAAAAGTGAAAACTTTTTAAAAATCCAAAGAGCATTTTTATGGTATTCATGTTCAAACTACTCAGTGTGGTCTCTGATTATAGAAAACTGGATTAGAAATGGATTTCCACTGAGCGAGGGATTGTCTTGCGTCACAAACAGCTTTTAAAAAACAAACAAACAACAAACCCACAAATAAATAAAAAAATAAATAGATAAATTAGGCAGCACTGCAGGGACATCTAGAGATTTAGTTGGATGAAATCGAAACACCAAAGGGAATCAAGAGGAAGAGATCATGGAAAAAAGGATGGGAAAATAAAAGAGAGAATGAGAGAGAAAATTAAAAACCCATGGGAGAGAAGAAGCAGCGAGATTAGGATTGAGAGGAGTACCGACTGAGAACACAGCAGGGACTGAAAGGGTAAATGGTTTACGAAGAGAATCGTCGCATTAAAATCCCAAAAAGAAAAAAAAAAAAACACAGAAGGACTTTCAAAAATCCCGGAAACTCATCCGGAAACAAAACTGTAGAGAACGAAAGATGAAGAGACGCTGAGAAGTAAAACCTGGTGAAGGGGGCAGCAGATGGAGGGGATTATTCAGGACTAAATCTACACAGGGAAGGCCACAGACGTGTAGCGCTACAGACTCCAGCTGCCAGAAATAGACCTAAAAGAAGTGCTGTCCCACCAGTACCATAATGATCAAACGCTGCCTGGACAGCAAAGCACACAACAGCTACAAGTCCTGCCATAAACAACAGGAGAAATCTCAGGACAGATACAATAACGACATCCCACGATACTTGTATGTTCAATAAAATCACCTAGGGAAATGAATCCGTTGAGTCACTAGTTTCATATGTTGGACTACACACACTGCTAAGAAATTTTGGACCATGTTATTCAAAAAAATATATATTTAAATTGCATGTGAACAAACTGATTTATTGCGTGTGTGTGGTTTTGTTTCAGATGGAGCTTGTGTGTTATAGTAGCAGATATGGCTACATGACACTTGTCCACTGTTTCTGTTTTCTGTGACTGGCAAAAAAGCCTAATTTGCAAACTATTTACTCAGGTGTAATTGAGAATACGGTGAAAATAACGAAACCCACAAATCCCCTTAATAACTCCAGATACTGAGAAAAGCCTGAAAATCATTTAGTTTCTTTGCTGTGAACAGAAAAGAAAAGCCAAGCGCAGATGGAGATTCCATGAAAAGAACAGAGTTAATTCACCCCTGAGCTAATGTGTGCCTCTATGGTGTACCCCGTTCCTATTATTTTGACCCAGTCTATTTTCAATTTGCACCTGTAAACAAACCACTTGGTCCAAAAATGCTAAACCACTGCTGCTTACTATAGTTTATTTTTCCGTGTGTGTAATAAGAGTCTTAAATGCTAAGCTTTTTATTTTTACAATGTAGATGTACACTGAGTGCCTTCAAATCTAGAGTAAAAACCCACCTGGTTGGAGTTGCTTTTGAAACATAATTAAGAATTTAACAATGGCACTCGACTTAATGTAATGTTTTGATTGTTGATTCTATGTTGCATGACTTTGGGTTTTTATGATGTAAACCACTTTGAAATGCCGTGTTGCTGAAATGTGCTATACAAATAAAATTTGATTTGATTTACTTAAATTAACTTTGTATTATGTTATGCATATTTAATACTTTAATACTTTGTTGCCAGTGGTTGTGACTCTGATCCCCATTTGGGTCAGTTGACTCAAAGAGTATGAAACATTAGGATGCAGATTAATCTATAATATTCCTAAGTGACCTCCTACTGATATTTATTATTTACAGTGTTATCACCTCTTTTCCGAGTATCTGGCTTTGATTAGTTAATTACATTAGAAAATTACTTCACGTGATCAGTTGTCAAAATGTATATGAAAAGCTCTAAAGGAGAGCACAAATTGTCAAATTTATATGAAATGTCCCTTTAAGGAAATCTTTTCACCTTATTCCACCCTACCTTGATGACCAAAATGACCATAAAGTACAATTTGGTAAGGTGGAGAAAAAAAAAACAGAATCCAAATCATAGATTAGAATGTTTTACCTTTTCCTGTGTGCAGATCAAACCGCGAACCTGTAAATAATAATAATAAAAAATCCATTAAATTACTGTTAACAATATATTTACTCACATTGCATGCAAAGCGACTCACTATATAAGTTTAAATCAGCCTACACATTTACCAAAAAATAATTTCTGTTTTCTAATTAAAAGGTTTTGAGATTTTTTTATTTTTATTACCTTCTTCAGAATTCAGAAATTAACATACACAAATATCATTTAACTACATTGAAAAGACCAGATGATGACATAATAGCTTTGTGAACTTCTATTTCACAAAATCAGAGTTAAAGCAGGAACATCGTTGGATATATTTTAAGGCAACGACTCAAACGCAGCGCTTATTTAGTGAGATCATAAAAATAAAAGGAAGTCAACCAATACATCAGGAAAAGAACTGTCCAGATGGCAGATTTATTCTTGGCTGCCAAATTGTGAATGTCTCGAGGTGCCACATTCTTCTGTTCAAGCAAGTCTATGCAACAATAAAACCATAGAAATATCCAGATATCATAGTGTGCAGAAAGGAGACCCGTTCTGTGATCCCGAGATTAATGTGACTTGGTCCAAACCAAATATCTAAAATTCATAAAAAATAACCTCAAGATTTTTTTAAGATGCCATCTGAGGATGGTAGGAGTATCCAGAGTAAAGGAAGTCCTGCAATGACACTGAAAGACACCCCGGCGAAAAAAAAGAGTTACTCAAATCTACATTGCAGTTTGCAAATGCACTCAGTAATGATGGTCTGTCCAGGGGTCTCATGAAACTAAAACTGAATTGTTTTGACATAATAATCGCCACATTTAGAGAAAAATGGGGGGAATCTTGCAAGTCTGACAACCCCATCCAGTCTGTGAAGTGCAGCTGGAGCAGCATTATGTCGTGTGTGTGTTTTTGCTGCAGGAGGGTTTGGGGCACTTCACATAATAGAGGGCATCATAGGGAAAAAAAAACATATTTTGTGAAAGTTCTTAAGTAATATCTCAAGAGATCAGCCAGGAAGTTAAAAGTTGGACACAAACTTTTCTTCCAAAAGGACTATGACCCATATGCATCCTGCATCCTAGTTACAAAGAGAATTAGTCCATGTTTTGGAACAGCCTTAATCTTAGTCTCATAAAGAATTGGGGAAAGCTCAAAAGATGCAAGCAAGTCAGCTTACAAAAATGACTTCATTATGCAAAGTTTGACAGGAGGAATGGGCCAAAATTCCAGCAAGTGTCATGATCCGTGGTTTTCTGTGTGTTTTTGAGTTTTTCAATGTGTTCCTGTTTCCCTGTGAGTCTCTGTCCTGTCCTCCCCGTTGATTGCTCCCCAGGTGTGTCTCATTCCCTTAATTACCCCGTGTGTATTTATACCCACCTGTTGTCTGTGTTCCTCGTCGGGTCCTTGTCAATTGTCAAACGTTTGCAGTCTGCGTCTGTCTGTCCGTCTTCCCAGTTGTACTGGTTAAGTCCTGTGTCGACGTCAGTTCCAGTTGATTTAGTCTTCGTTGTCAGTTGCTACCGGTGCTTAGCTGCGTGCTAGTTGTTCCTGCCGTGCTGCCTGATTTGGACTATGTGAACTTCATTCATCATTAAATTCATCTTCACCATAACCTGGGTTCTCTGCGTCATCTCCTCACCACTTCAACCCCACCTTATGACAGCAAGTTACCGAGAATAAAGGTTGTGGGAGGATACCCAAACTTTTTGACCCAAGTCGCACAGTTTTAAAGGAAATTCCACCAAAAACTGAGAAAATGTGCAAAAATTTCTAAATCTGAAGAAAGTTTAAATAAGTCCTCAATATTCTGGCCTTTAAGAAATAAATATTTCTGGTAAACCTGATGGGAAAACTTTGAAAATAGTTGAGGAAAATAAAAGCTTATGTGTGTTTATACATTGTTTATAAATATAACTAAGTATACATAATCTAAATGAAAGATCTCGGCTGTAAATCCACAACATTTTAAATTTGTCCCTCATTTCCAGCGTATCTCAATTTTCTATTGAGCTGTGACACTAAAAACATCCAATTTGTTTTTCCTACAGTAAGACTAAGTATATTCTATTCTTAGAGTTACATATTGACTTATTGCATAAGTGATAATGAGAGTGTGTTTGTGCACATGTGTGCTATTGACTAATTATCTGCCCTGAAAGAGGATGGTTAATTAAACTCTTTCCTAGCAGGGGGCATAAAGTAATTATTGTGCATGGTTGCATGTAAAACCAAAAAAAAGAGAAAAAAAAAGTCATTAACTACATGTGCTAAAAAAATGTGTCACGTGTTCGCTATCGAACAGTCGAAGGGAAAAGCTGTATCGAACTTTTCATCGGAAGATTCTCCGCCACCTTGAACTGCACGTGTGCCCAAATTAACTGTTTTTTTTTTTTTTTTTTTGTTCTGTCTGCTAGGCAAAATAAAAACAGATGGCAGCTGAATGTGACTGCACTGACTTGCATGTGACAAGCTGCCAATATCAACTTTTACTGCTGTCGTCAGGCAGTTGGCAGCGATCAACTTGTCTCGCATCCATTCAAAGCTGAATGCACACACATGGAAGCGACACACAACAGATCTAAGTTCTGTCTGAAAGAGTTTTAAAAAGGTACAGAGGGACGCAGTAGCTATAGAAATATGGTGCACGGTAACAGGATAGAAATGTGCTAATTCTCATTTGAATTGAAAATATTTTAATGATGTTTTCATCTTCCCTTTGAAGCACAAAAAAAAATATGCAAATGCAAAAGAATTTGGCACCAAAAGGTATCCCCAGTACTAAATTGTGCCTTCCAGCAGTTCCAGCAAAGCTAAGTTGTTTTCCCCAATACAAGATTTCCAGTTTTCTGTGGCCTCAGTTTTAGTTGGAAGCTGCGCAGGTTAAAACTGGCTTGCTACTTTTAAATGACGGAGCTGTTGTTTATCTGGGTTTTACATGTGCAAACAGAAACCTGCTCTAACTGCTGACTGATTAGCGGTTCTGCATAGTGGGAAGGTCCAGTGCAGAAGTTATCAGTGACATTTTCATAAGTGGCAGCAAATGTTCGAGGTGCTTCAACGGAACTGCTTCGCAAAGTTATAATCGGTTATAAAAGTCTTTCAACAGGAACAGGAATCTCAAAATAGTATTGTTTAAAATGTACTTTCGTAGAGCAGGAAAATGAAAAGAGAACAAATAAAAAAAGGAAAAGATTTTGATTCTCAAAACTTTAACAATACATCCTCTTTTTGCAAAACACTGCTTCATTGTCCATCACTGTGACTCCATTCAGCGATCTTTGAAAACAGGAGCAAAACCTTTGATTTTCAGACCGAACAGAGACTGGCCACCCAGGGAACAGGAGGCCTGGTAACAACAGTAGCTTCTGTGGCATACTAAAAAGGGCTTTGCATTTCTAACTGACACTTCCTCACATTGAACTGAATGTCAATATAGGTATTTAGTCAGTCAAATGTCCCCCAAGAAAGGAAAAAGTGCGAGGTGTAGATGTCCAAAGCTGGCAGAGACCTAAATATATTTTATTTGCAAAAAAGTGCTTCTGCAAAGTATTGACTAAAGTGGACTGGACATAAATTACTTTTTTTTCCAGATTTGTATTTGTTTAGATAAAAAAAAAGGTCCTTTTCATTCCTTTCCTTCCAGGATTAGGCTCTGTGTAGGTCATACATTTGAAACTCATACATTGAAGTTTATAGTTGCAATGTGAAGTAAACCAACTGCATGTATGTTGCTCAAATTGGAAAATATATAATGCTGGAATTATTCAGAAAAAAACTCCATTTGCACTTACTGCATGTGTGACAAGGTGAACTAAAAGAGAAGTGAAATGGAAACGAGCACACAGTGTTAATCTCTATTTTCTGCTTGGGCTGGTGTTGCAGACTGAGGCGTGAGGCTGACACTTTGCTAGTCTGATCCCTCTCAGCTGCCGTCGCTCACAAGGGCAGGTCCCCATGTTACCTGCCACATGAGGCGAAAGTGTTCTGCACACAAAGGCACAAACATTTCATTGGTTCTTAAGCAGCTGTGGGAAGAAAACATATTTGAAGATGCAAACAGAGGTAAGCAACATCCTTCACAAAATAAAGTGTCCTCTTTCAAAAGGTGCCAGGCTTTTGAAACATACTCAGCTAACTGAAAACAATACCTGAATAAAAACTGAAGTTCATCTTCACTCCCCATAGAAAAGAAATCTGGGTAAACATCAAGGACTTTACCAAACAATTCATTTCAGAGAACTGTATACAAAAGGACAACATAACAAAAAGTGCATTTCATTTTCAAATTCACTTCAATTATAAAGAGAACATTTTCGGTTTGTATTATAAAAGGAGTCTATTATTATTTAATACTTATGACTGACCATAAATGCAAGCAAAATAAGAAGAAAAAGCACTAAATGGTTGGATTATGTCAGCGACAGATTATACAGTCTTTCTTCTCTGTCAGAAAGTCATTAAACTCAGTGTGATTATTCTCTGCTTGAGTCCACCTCAAATAGACAGGATTTCATTACAACCACTTGGCCACTTTTCTGAGAATTTCAAACTATTGCAAGTTTAACAATTGGCAATGGCTGCCAAGGACCTTCAAGAGAATGTCAGTTTCCATGGAGACATTGCCACCCCCAGCAGTGGTCCCCCACAACCCCTGATGAGGGTAAAAAGTAAATACATAAAACGGCCACAGAAACATGAGGTTTTCTGCTTCCGTCTCTCCACTCACATTCTATTACCCAGAATGAAACTTTCATTTGTGACTATTAATCTGAGAATCCTCCATGCTTTGTTGCTTACCTCAATGCTAATTTTCAAAGGTTTAAGTTGCTTACTTTCTTTCTTTCTTTGAGGGTGTTTGTGACTTGGGATGCTGGTCACATTAAACGTGGCATTGCAAGTGGACTTCACAGGACTTGCTTACATAATGTGCCCAGTCTGAATGGTTGTGAAAAAGTGTGAAAGCAATACCTTCTACCTCCTTCCACTGCTTAAACAGTGCTTGGCTGTTATTTATTTATTTATTT